ATCAGCACAGACAGGGGAGGGAGTCCAAGAGGGAACCCTTGGGCCTAATGGGGTCTAGAATCTGGGACTTTCTGGGTTCTTCTAGCATCTCTCGATATTTGCATGAGGTGCCCTGTTGAAGGTGAGACTGCCTCTAGGCTTTCTGGTGTCTGTGGAGGTGAGGTCATTTCAAGTGGTCACATTTGGGGGGATCCCAAGAGCTGGGACAGCCCACAGCTTCCTCTGACACCCCACCCCAAGACACGGGGGACCTCGGGAGGCTAAGGCCCTGGGAGCGGAAGGGGGCGGGGCTCACAGGCCCAGGGAAAAAGTGGACAGAGGAAAGCTGCCGCCTCAGTGGCCTTACAGAAACAGGTGCTACCAGATCCTGAGTCGGGGGGCGGGGGAGGAATGGGGTGGTGTATGTATCAAAGAAATGTGCCGAGCAAACGACAGAAGCCAGCATCAGCCATCAGCCATCAGCCATCAGCCATCAGCTACAGCTTCACCCCCAGAGCTGTTACAACCCCCCACCCCGCCAAACCTTCTGAAGGTGCCTACTGACACGCCCCCAGCACCACCTCCTGCACCTCCTGCACGCCCGCTATGCCCCCATTCCTTGGCCGTGCCAGGCGTGCTCTCCAGGGCAGCAACCTCCAGTGCCCCCTCCCTCTGCCTTCACTTGGCCAGCCCCCGGGATTTATCGGAGACGCCCCCTCTGCCCTGTCCAGACACACCGTGAGCCCTCCCAATCAGAACCTGTGGCCACTTGGTCTGAGATCAGCCGACTGCAGCTCCCTCACTGCCCCCGGACCTTCGCCAGGCAGGAACTGGCCTAACACCCAGTTATGGGGTCACTACGGCCCAGGAGAAGGAACACGTGCCCGAGGCTTCAGCTGCAGGCACAGTGGTCCCACAGCCCCTGGGAGCTGCTCGACACCAGCAGCCCCTCCAGGGCTGGCCCTTCATGGTGCCCGCTTCTCACTCCCCCAAACCCGTAAGGCTAGCTGGCACCATCATGGGGCGTGCACTCACTGGCCCAATGAGGCAACCTGCCCCAGCCAGAAGGCCTGGCTTTGAATCCCAGGTTGGCCACTTAGCAGCCATGCGGCCTCAAGCCAGCTATTTTCCCTCCCTGTACCTCCACTTTCTCATGATGTATAAATTGAGGTGACCAGCACCCACCTGCCTGCAGGGCACCCAGAGCACAGGCATGTGGGAGGTGAGGCCCAGAGGGCAGGGAGCTCACCCAGCCTGTGTCCCCAGGCACGGCCACGCTCCACAGCCGCAGCACAGCTCATCCGCAAGGTCAGAGGCCTCAAAGGCAGACGCTGAGACTAGGCAACGGTCAACCAGCGGTGCTGAGAACTGGGCCCTGGCACGGGACAGCCAGGTCTGGAGGACTTAGGGGAAAATACGACTCCTGGTTTTGCTCCCAGCACCCAGCTGGGGCTCGGGGCGCCATGGACCTGAAACCTCTCAGAGTCAGAGCCTGTGAGGCTCGCGAGAGCCAGGCCAGCTCCCCGGACAGACACACACACCCCTGTCCGGCTCTATGACTGCCGCCCGCCTGCCAGCTGCACCTGCCCTTCCTGGGGGCCTGGATGGGTGCTAAAGTCCATCATTGTTGACCATGGAGGAGCGCAGACCAGTCCACCGCCCCACACGTTCTCCCATGAATGCCACTCTGGGGCATCAGAGGAAGCCCTGATGTCTCCTTGCATCACCCGAAGCTCCAAGCCCTCCTACCTGCCAGACTGGGGCCACAGAGGGGGCTCACACTCTGCCTGTGCAGTGGCAACCACAAGTTAAGAGCTGAACAAGCAGGGTATGCAGGGACCAGGAGTGTGGCTAGAGTGCAGGGCACGGCCTGGTGGAGAGCTGGCAGAGAGCAGGCACTTGCCCCCTTCCCCCCCACCCCGCACCAGGGACCTGACGCTCACGCGCAGCGACACAGAGGTGCGGAATACATGCCATGGGAGACGGAGGCACGAGAGGGGGCAGCTGCACCTTGCCTCTCCTGCTAGTGGCCCCAGCTAAGAGAGGTTGCCCAAAGTTAGGCAAGTTGTCCCTGTCACCCAGCTTGTGACCGACAGTCAGACCCGGAGCATGAAGTCACATGGCCACTCAGGGGCCAAGTCCAGCTGCCAACCCCAGCGGCAGCAGGTGAACTGGGTCTGGACGGACACTTGGACAGCTGTGTCCTGGCGGTTCCCCCGGCCCTCTCCCCTCCTCCCACACCCTCACTGTCACAGAGAAGAGCCAACCTCCTCCTGCTCTCCCGAGAGCTCTACCTGTCAGACCAGTTCCAAGGACAAAGTGTGAGCTCAGTGCCACCAGTGTCACCAAGAACAGTGTGCATTTCCAGCCCGGGGCATCCCTGGCTCGGAGCACTGGGTCACAGCTCTCACCATCCCCCAGCCCAGAAACCCAAGGGGCCCTCAGAGGGTGGCCTGTTGGGGCCCCTTTCCCTGTAGACACCCCACGACCTCCCGCAGTCTGGGAGCAGGGACTGGGCCGGTGGCAGGCTAGGAGGGCAGAGCAGGCCTCTCCACAGACTGGGCCGGCTGTCATGTGCCTGGGTCACAAGTTCCTCTCACACAGAGTTCAGTGCCCACCGTGCCTTCGGGGTCTAGCCCAGCTCTCGCTGGCTCACACAGCTTGGTCTGAAAGGGCACCCTGGGCAAGTGCAGCCTAGGCCCCGAGCAGAGCTGGCTGGGACCCTGGGGTCTGCCACGGCCCCTGCTTCCACACGGGGTTTCCACTCTGCCTCCTCCCCATGCTTCACTTCCCACACCTGGCTCCCCAAACCCTCAGGTGGGGGGTGGGGTGGAGAGCACGAGGCAGGGATCCTTGCTGGGTGGGAACACACAGGGCGTAGGGAGGGGCCATCACTCCACCCCTAGGGTACCCCTGCCAGGCCCCCTCCCCCTCACAGCTGAGGGCTCCAGACCCCACATTCGTCCTGCACCTCGCGATGGGGTCCCCATGGACCAGGCAACCTCCACACAGTGGAATCCCTTCTACTTTGGGCTCACGGGCTCCTGTCACCTACTGGCCTCTGCTGGACCCCTCCACTGCCCTCCCCCGGCTGAGAGGCCAGCTCCAACACACTTCCCACCCCTGTTCCAAGCCCACCAACCCCTCCTCCAGGCAGTGCCCTCCCAAGACTCAGGCCTCCTGGTGGCTAGGGCCTTTGGCAGCTGTGTCTGTCATGACCCCCCACTCTTCTACACGCTGGCCAGCCCTTCGCCTCGCGCAGCCCCAGGCTTCCCTGGGCATAGAGGCCAGCACATGCTTCTGGACGGTCCCAGGCCCTTTATTGTTTCTGCTCCCCCAAATCCCAGCGTTCAAAGAGACTGGCTTCAGGCCCAACTCCTGCAGCCTCTCCTCGGCCAGGGCCCGAGCTCATGGGCCAGTCCACCAGCACCTCTGCCTAGGCCTACGAAACCCCTCCACACCTTTGGCAGCACCACCCGTACCCCTCACCCAAGCGCAGGCCAGTCGGCGGCCCCCTCCTTCTGTGGCGCTCCCTCCCACCGCTCAGCCTCACTGCCTCTCCAAAGCGGCCCACGAAGAAGCAAAACACAAGCACAGATCTGCTCGGGGAACAGCTGCTGTTGATGCGTCAGGAACCCACAAGGACAAACTCGCCCGGCCCTCACAACCAGCCCCCCGGATGGCATCAACGCCCCTGTTTGCAGGGGGAACAAGCAGGAGGCTCCAAGGGGAAACTGCACCTCCTCCTCAGACCTTCTGACAGGCAGAGCAGACGCCTTCCGCCCAGCCCACGCACGGACCACCAACTCAGCCCCAGCAGCCACAGCCAGACCCTACCACACCCCAGGAGCACACTTCTCGGGATCAGCCCCTAAAAAGACAAACAGCGTCCTTACACCAAAGCCTTGCCTCGGTGGGGGCCCACCTGGCTCCTCCCCAACACGTTCCCTGACCCCTCTGGCCCAGCAGATGCCGTGGGGACTGGACCCTCACTTTGTAGATGGGACCGCAAGGCCCAGTGGGGTCAGGCAGGCAGCTTGCATTCACTAAGCGGCCCAGGGTTTGACCTGGAGTAGCCACTCCCAGACCATGGCCCTTCCCTGCCTCCCCAGGCTGTACCCCTGTCTTACCCCCAGCTCCCTGATCTGCCTCAGCCCCAGCGCCCCCAGAACTGGCCTCCAGCTCCTGGAGCCAGAACTCAAGCCCAAGTCCGACATTAGTCACCGTCTCTGTGACTCAGGGGCTTATGGAGGGGCTCCCTGCGTGTCCAGCACCCAGTGATCAACCTGTCCAACAACACCACACCGGGGCCTCCATGCCCACAGTGACCCAAGAGGTGCCTGTCCCTTTCGGGAGAGTGGAGCAGCAAACCAACTTCTGCAGAACCACTGCGGGTAGACCCCCCCCACCCCCCGTCTCTGCCGGTTCCACCCTGGCAGGACTCAGCTCCAACACACCCACTTCAGCTGCCCTTTCATTGCTGTTCCAACAGGGGCGGTCGCCAGGGGACCTGCCCCCTGCCCCACACCTGCACCTGCTGCCTTCCTCTCGTGTTGACCAGCAACTCCAACGCCTGCCTCCATTGCGTGCCCCGACTCCCGTGGCGGAGCCAGGCCTGGGGGTTCCAGGGACCGTCTTTCCGTGGTCTCGGACCACCTTGGCCTGAACCAGGGACTTGGCATCTCGCCCCTTACAGCCTCCTCCTTGCAGCCAAGGCACCCACCAGCCCAGGCCGCAGCTGCACCTCACTCTATCCCACTGAGCCTTCTCCTGAAGGGGGAATACAAGGAACTCCAAGGCAGCCGCCCTCCCAATTCCATACCAGCCCTACAGACCGACCCCCTGCCCGCGCCCTCAGCCCACAGTCCCTGCGCAGGGAGAAGTGGCGTGTGTGTCACGGGAAGAGGGGGGACACAGAGCTCCCCCATCTCTGGCTTCCGTGCAAACCGGCACCCTTGAGTACAATGTCGGGGATCCCCTCTCCCAGCACCCCCCTCTCTCCCCGCGCCCCCCACCACTACCGTGTCTCCAGGGGTCCTTGGGCTCCACCGCGCCGGACACGATATCCTCGTCGGACGGGAAGGTGACGCGCTTGGCCGCAGCCTTGAGGCGCCCGTCGGCGGGGGGCGATGCGGGACTGCCAGAGCCCCCAGGCTGGTGGGCAGCGGCCTCCCCGGCGTCGCCGTCCCCGCCCGGGCCTGGCGGCGCCTCCTGCGGCGGGAGCTCCATGGCCGCCGCCTCACGGGGGCCCCGGGGACATCGCGCCGTCCCGGGGCATGGGCTCCAGCGCCGCCTCAGGCGCCGCCTCCGTCCGCTCTCGTGGTCGTCGTCGTCGTCGTTGTCGTCGTTGTCGTCGGGAGGCCGCCTCCACCTCCCTCCCCAACCCCCAGGCGCGTCGGCGCGTTCGCACTCGCACTTTCGCTCACAGCCCGCCGCCGCGTCAGAAAAGTCCGGAAACGCGGACTCGAAGCGCGACTGCAAGAGGAAGATGGACTCGTGGACGACGTGAAAAGCCCGGGTAGAGACGGAGGACAAAGGGCCAGAAGGAGGCACGGGGGAAGGGAGACGTGGGAGCGGCGAATCTGCAGAGCCGGAACTGCAGCGCGGGCGGGGCGGGCAGTGGACGCCGTCTCCCGGAGCAGCGCGCAGGCGCGCAGCGGGGTCGTCGTCGTCCCTGGCCGGTCTCCCGATGGCCGACGTCCCCGGTGGCTCGTGCCCCAAGCCATGCACACACGCACCGTCACCTGGCTCGATCCTCGCTCAGCGCACCGGGCCGCCGTCCGCCAACGGGGGGGACAGGGACCTCGGGGGAGGGAGGGACGAGTCACGTCGTTGCCAAGGCAATTGGAGAAGGAGGCCCCGGGACTGGCCAGCGATGGGCTTGTGAATGGAAGGACTGGCTCCATTCATCTACCACCTGCCGCCCGGCTTCCGCGGCGCCACCTTCTGTGCAGACGCACTCAAGGAACAAGCTGCAAAGGGGGCCGAAGCTATTTGCCACCCCCACCCCCCGTGGGAGAGGCGGACGGTGGTGGTCCAGGCTCCTGGGCCAGTCCTGGCTGCTGTGGCATTTTGAGGGACCCAGTGGATGGGGGATCTGCCTGCCAACCTGCCTGTCAGATACACAGATATTTATTTAAAAAGGTCCGTGAAAGGAGGCTACGGGGACTCGGGTGGTAAGGCCACCTACTGGGGTGAAAGTGGAAAAAGCGGGGTGAGGCTTCACCCTACCCAGGAGTTCTCGGCCTGTTCTGGTGCTGGGGTGCCCTGCGCCCAGAGGTAGTGGCCACTGCCCTCCCAACCGCCGGCCCCACCTGCTACCCACCCACCCCCAAAATAAATCAAATTCTCATCTTCTGGATCACGCAGACCCTGTGGGCAATTCCACGCCTTTATTCAGCTCCCCTGGACAGGAACCCCATCACAACCACCCACGGAATCCCACTCCCTTGCCCAGGTGGGGAGGGCCGGGCCCCCGCAGTGCGCCCAGCCCGTGCCCGTCCAGGCGGCGGTGTCCAGCTGCCTGCCGCTGTCCAGTCCGGAGTTCTGTGACGGAGGTCGCTGCTTTCAGCGGGGTCTACAGGGTGTCACTGCCCCAACCCTGGATTCAGAATCCAGAATCTCCAGGCGCCCCACACCGCTCCACGCGAAGTCCTCAGCACTTGAAGGAGTAGGCGATGATGTCGCTGCAGCGCAGCAGCGCGTCCGCCTGCACCCCGATGGGCGTCTGCAGCTGCGACACGTAGAAGTTGGCCACGTCCAGGTCGCTGGCTCCGAAGTGGGCGGCCACGCGCACGCCCTCGTGCAGCGTGAAGCTCACCCGGCGACCCGCCATGGCCAGCAGGCTGCGGAGGTAGCGCTCCCGCAAGGCGGCTCGGGCCCGCTGTTCCTGGGATTCCAGAGACTCCTGGGCCAGGGAGGAGGAGGAGGAGGTGGTCCCGCCTGGCTTCAGGGGAGCCCCCCGGCCACCGGGGGCGAAGCCACGGCTGAAGCCGTCAGGCCCTCGGGGCAGGCGCAGGACGGGCACCGGCACTGGCAAGGGGGCTGAGCTGTGCATGCTCCTGGCTGTTGGGGGAAGAGCAGGGAAACCATTACTTGGGGAGGGAGAGGGAGGCTGCGGGGGGCTGAGGAGGGGGCTGCGGGGGCTGGGGAGGGGGCTGCCAGGCACCGTCTGGACTTCCCACAACCCGCTTCTTGTCATCCTCCCATTCTCCCCAGTGACTTTGGCTGGAAAACAAGTGTCACCCACAAGAGTGTGAGCGCCAGGCTTTTGTCTGCTCATTTTTTTTTCCAATTAATTTATTTGAAAGGCAGAGACAGAGAGCGCCTGAGATGGAGCAAGCGAGGGAGCACCATTTGCTGGGTCACTCCCCCAGAAGCCTGTGAGGGCTGGGACTGGAAAGTGGAATTCCTTCCCATGTGGGTGGCAGTGTCCAACACAGCATCTTTGTGTGCGTGTGTGTTTGACTCATCTAAAAGACAGACAGAGCTCTCACCTGCTGGTTCACTCCCCAGACGGCCACGGTTGGGCTGCTGCTCAAATGGGAACCCGCAGCCCTACAGTGCCGGCCCTAGCCCCTGATCACGGTGACGAATGCCTGCCCCCACGAGGGCTTTATCCCCCAGCTCTGGGCAACAGTTCTGGGACGAACGGCCCCAGCCTCCTCTCACACGCAGCCTGGGTGAGCCACCAGGAGACCTTGCCTTCTACCCAGTCTGAGCCACCTGCTTGCAGGGGAGCCACCGTGCCCGTGTGGAATGTCAACCTGGACATAATGACGAGCTGATATTCAACTCCCTGGATTAGACAGGGCTCAGGGGCAGTGCTGTGGCCTGGCATGCCAACATCCCATGTCAGAATCTTGGCTGCTTAGCTTCCAATCCAGTCCCCAGCTAATGCAGCTGGGAAAGCAGTGAAGGATGGTCCAACTGCTTAGGGCCCTGCCTCCATGTGGGAGACCTTGGAAGGAGTTCCTGGCTCCTAGCTTTGGTCTGTTGCAGCCATTGGAGAGTGAACCAGCAAGTGGAAGATCGCTCTCCTTCTGTCTCTAACTCTTTCGTCTTTCCAAAAAAAAAAAAGAAAGAAAGGAAAAATAGAAGCCCAGAGCCCACCAATTATACACGAAGGAATACATGAATGGAGGAGAAAAGAGGCCTCCTTACCATTGAATGCCAAGGAACTCGAGTGACCGGAATGCCAGAGCTAGCCCAGGCCCCAGGCAGGCAGGAATCTGTGGGTAGAAGTGTGATGGGGCTGGTTAAAGCCCTGACCCTCCCAAAGGGGGCGCTGGTGCCCACTCTCCAGGCAGACACCTGCTGGACAGTCCCTAATCCCATGACTGAGCACTGTCCAGGCATGTGTGTCCCGAGGGGAAAAGGGATGGCCATGGAAAGCACAGCCTGAGGGGCTTTCTGCAGGAACAAAGCTGAGCCGGCAAGGGCACAGACGCCACAGCCTGAGAGGAAGGCTGGAACAGGGGCACACCAAACGTCCAGCTTAGCCCCCCTCCACACAGGGCCGAGGCCCAAGTCCTCACACACCACAGACCTGCAATGCCGATGGAGCCCTCACAGTGCCAGGCCCAGGGCAGCTTTCTCCCTGGTGGTCCCTTCGTGGGCCGCTCCCCAGCCCTGCCTTTCCGAGGCCCAAGATGGCCACCTTGCTTTCCCGCTGCTCTCTCTCCAGCGCCTGGAACACCCCGTGGAACAGAGCATGCTGTTCCGGCTGTAAGGACCGGGCGAAGCCCCGAGGCTGGCCTGGCCATGGGACTTCAGTCAGAAAGACTGTTTCAGGCCTAGCCCGGTGGTGCAGTAAGCCAAGCCTCTGTGTGCACTGCTACCATTCCATAAGACCCCAGTTCCAGTCCTGGCTGCTCTCCTTCCAATTCCTGCTAACGCATCCAATTCCTGCTAACGACCCTGCACTTGCATGAGAGACCTGGGAGAAGCTCCTGGCTCCTGGCTTCAGACTGGCTCAGCTCTGGTCATTGTGGCTTTTGGAAAAGTGAACGAACATAAGGAAGATCTTTGTCTCTCCTCCTCTCTGTAAATCTGATTTTCCAATAAAAATACATCTTAAAATAAATCTTAAAAAAATAAATCTTAAAAAAAATAAAATCTAAAAATGAATCTTAAAAAAAAAAGTTTGTACACTTGGCAGAGGCTAAGACACCAACCGGGCAACAGGCACTGTGCCATAGTGGGTTAAACCCACACCATAACTCGCCTTAAGATACAGCCCAGGCTGGGAGAAGTCAGGACCAGGCTGGGTTACATGCCTATTGGCATGTGGGTCAGTTGGACTGAACCGGTCTGCAACATCCACTGACAGGTGTGAGAGTCAGGACCAGGTGCAGGCAGGCCAGATTGGGACGCAACATCCAACATTTCACATTAGGGCGGGGACTAGGGGCTGCCCAGGCTGCCCCTAGCACAACAAGGCCTCCCAGGAGTGAACCTGGTTGGGAGGCGGCAGTGGGTCACTGCTCCCACTGGTAAGAGCTGAGACTCAGGGCACATCATCAGGATGGGCAGGGCTGTGACAACTGTTGGCCTGCAGCGAGCTGGGTTTGGAGGAGGGCCAGGCTAACCCAGGCCACTGCATTCACTGGTGCATGCATGAACCAGGGTAAGTGCTGACTGGCCAGGCTTGGCAGACATGGTACAATACATGTGGACATTCATGTGGTGGATGAGCTGAGCTAAGCTGCAACACCCACAGATGTATACGGAAGTCCAACTGGGAGGTGGCAAGGACCAGACTATTCTGCTGTGCAAACTGACATGTGTAGGAACCAGGGCTGGGGGTAGGCCTGGTGGAGTTACTGGAGGTTGCCCCCAACTAGGGTGTAGTTCCCACTGGTATGTACAAAGGCCAGGACTGTGACAGGCTGGGTTGGGCTGGGCCATAGTACCTGCAGGTCTGTATAGCACATGAGCTGAGGAAGGACCTGACCAGGCAATTACATTCACCAGTATGTGTGTAGATTGATGTGGGTGACAGACTCAACCGAACTCTGTATTGTTGGCACAAGCAACTCAAGTCTGGGGTCATCCCAGATGAGGTTTCTTCATGAACTCCCCATCAGGACCACTGGACTCAAGGTTCCGACCACTGGGCCCGGCGCGGTGGCGCAAGTGGTTAAAGGTCCTCGCCTTGCACGCCCGGGATCCCATATGGGCGCCGGTTCTAATCCCGGCAGCCCCGCTTCCCTTCCAGCTCCCTGCCTGTGGCCTGGGAAAGCAGTCGAGGACGGCCCAAAGCTTTGGGACCCTGCACCCGCGTGGGAGACCCGGAAGAGGCTCCTGGCTTCGGATTGGCATGGTATCGGCCCGTTGCGCTCACTTGGGGAGTGAATCATCGGACGGAAGATCTTCCTCTGTGTCTCTCCTCTCTGTATATCCGCCTTTCCAATAAAAAAATAAAATCTTTAAAAAAAAAAAAGTCAGCCTTTACCACAAGGGCTAGCTAGCTTGGAGAGGAAAAATGAGCCAAGGGGACTGCAAGGTTTCATCCTCTGATAGAGGAGATGAGGCTTTCAGGGAATACAGCACATCTACATTTCAAAGTTTATCTGACCATATCATTCCAGGCTACTCAAGGGTCACCAGTCCCCAGGGCCTTCGTCCTCTGGCCTTGGCTACACCCTAGTACCCAGGGTCTTAGGGGGATGGAGGTGGGGAGAGCTGGGAAAAATCAAAAGGGAGGTCCCGCGCTGGCAGGGAGATCTGGCCAGGGGGAAGCAGACCCCACTGCCCGGTGCCCAAGCCCATCCTGGGAAGCATCTGGAGGTGCCTGCCCTGGAGCGATCTCATCAGGTCAGGCCTGAGAACGGTCACTAGGGTGTGTCAGGGGAAAGATCATATGTTCTCCACCCCCACACCCTTTCTCTTCTCAGCTTCCAAGTAGGCGGTGGTCTGCCTTGAAGATTTCAGGAGAAAGAAAGGAAAAAAACAAAAACACATCCACACCCTTACCTGGAAACCTCAAATCGCCCCGGAGTCCCAAGACCATCACCTGGGTCAACGGCTAGGGCAGGGCTGTGGAGGGAAGCCCTCGGCCCTGAGGCAATTCCCGACTTTTCTGAGAGTGTCCTCCAGGCCACCACCACCCCCCAGGGTGTCCTCTTTCCTCCGCCTCCCGGGGCTCCCCTCAGCTCGGAGGAAAGGCGGGAACCGCCGCCGTGGTTCGCGTCTGCTCCCTGCAGCGCAGCATCCGCCGGCCCCTTCCTGCCGCCTCCGGCCTATCGGGGCTCCGGACATCACGGCTGGGGACACCGCGGCCCCGGACACCCCGGCTGGGGACACCGCGGCTCGGGGCACCTGCTCCTCCGGACGCCCCAGTACCTCCCGCGCTACTCACCGCCGTCCGCAGCTGCCGGCGCCCCCACTTCCGGCGCCCCCATGGCAAAGGTCCGGGCGAGCGGCGAGCTGCGGAGCCTGAGTTCCGCCCGCGCCGCCGTCCCCACGTGGTCGCGGGCCGGCTTCCTGGGAGCCCGGTGTACCCAGGTCCTTGCTCCGCCTGCGGCTTTGCCCTCCCTCGCCAGCCAGCCCCCTGCAAGCTGGAGGCCTCTGAGGTGCCCGTATTCTACGCCGGAGGAAAAGCGTGGCGCAGCGAGGGGGCACCTGGTCCCGGCTCGGCGCTCTGGCTCCCCACGCACGAGCCGGTGAGGGAAACTCGCCGTGGCCACAGGGCAGGAGGAAAGCTGGGCGCTGGGATGCATGAGGGGTTGGCCATGGTGGGTCCTCTGGGCCCCTGACAAGAGGGTCACACCCCGCATGGGACTGGGCACCTGTGCTCGGGCAGTGTTCCCCAACAGCTCCCCAAGCGCCAGGCGCCCAGGGCCAGTGAGACACATAATAGGAATTCAATAAACTACTTGATCGTTTAACCCTGCCTGCCCCAGTGGACAGACTCCAAGACCCTGAAGGAAAAATGATGAGGATTCGTGGAGTTTCACAGAAGTGATATTAAGAAGAAGAAGAAAAAAAAAAAAAAACCGGCGGCGTGGCATAGTGGCTAAAGTCCTCTCCTTGAATGCGCCCAGAATCCCATATGGTCGCCGGTTCTAATCCCGGCAGCTCCACTTTCCATCCAGCTCCCTGCTTGTGGCCTGGGAAAACAGTCAAGGACAGTCCAATGCTTTGGGACCCTGCAACCGCATGGGAGACCTGGAAGAGGTTCCTGGTTCCCGGCTTTGGATCGGCGCAGTACCGGCCGTTGCACTCACTTGGGGAGTGAATCATCGGACGGAGGATCTTCCTCTCTGTCTCTGCTCCTCTCTGTATATCTGACTTTGCAATAAAAAAATAAATAAATCTTTTTTTTAAAAAAAAGCTTAGGGCCGGGAGGGATGGCTCAATGCCTAAACCTTCCCCTTGCAAGCACGTGCTGGCTTGCATATGGGTGCAGGTGCATATCCTGTCTGCTCCACTTCCCATCCAGTTCCCCGCCTGTGGCCCAGGAAAGCAGTAGAGGACATCCCAAGGCTTTGGGATCCTGCACCCATACTCAAGTGGAAGATCAGGGGGAAACTTCTGGCTCCTGGTTAGAGATCAGCTCAGCTCTGGCTGTTGTGACCATTGGGGGAATGAACCGGAGGATGGAAGCTCTTTGTCTCTCCTTGGGGAGCTGAGAGGAAGCAGGGGACTGACTCCTCAAAGTTGTAATTTCAGAACCCCTGAGGCAGGTGGCAGCCGTGGGGGGACACTTGGAGGTCAGTGAGTGTAATTTGCAAGGCTTTGGTCAGGGTGGGGCCACTTGAGATAGGAGGCCAGGGAGGCCCTGGGCTCTGGCCCCTGAGGAGGACAATTGAGCCAGGGCTGAATAACAATGTGAAGGACTCGGGGAATTTGGAATTCCGCTCTGAGCTGGGCTGAGGACTGCGGTGGGACACTGGCCCTGACCACAGGGGGGTTGCCTGGCAGACAGGAAGGGGACAGTCAACCAACTGGGAAATAAGAAAAGCACAGGGTGGGGGTCGATGGGGATCTGAGGACTGCTCAGAGGCAAGCTCAAGGAAGCCTGCACAGGTCAGTGTATTTCCTAATCAGGGATAGGAGATAAAGATCTCGCATCTTCTGGGTCACTCCCCAAATGGCCCAAAGGGCGGCGGCTGGGCCGGGCGGGAGCCAGGTGCTGGGCCCAAGAACTGGGCCCATCTTCGGCTGCCCTCCCAGGCCGATTAAGGGACGTGGAGCAGCCAGGTTCCCAATGCTTTACCTGATGGCGCTCCCTGCCCCACCCGGCCCCCCAATATCTTTGGGATTTTAAAGCAATTCCAGGTGCAGAAACAGAGGAGGGTGTCTGTGATTATGCATGGATTGCAAAGATTGTAAACATGATGGATTTTTTATTTTGCACCAAAACAAGCTTACTTTTAAATCCCATTTCCTATGAGATGTGTGGCTCACAACAACCCCCCTGCTCAATGCCCCCTCCCCACCAGGCCCCAGTGTCAGCTAAACCAAAGACCTGTCTGAGTTCTGGCCCCAGCTCTGCTTGTAATGCCAGCTTCCTGCTGCTGTCAGCCTTGGGAGGCAGCAGGTGAGAGGACTCAATTTCTCGCGGTGCAGAGGTCGGAATGGAGCTCCTGCCCTGGCCCCTGGCTTCAGCCTGGACCTGCAGGGGTCGGGGGGGTAGGGGCATTTGTGGACTGGAGCAGTGGATGGGAGGGCTGTGTCTCTCTCAGGAAAAGTGAATATCAATCAATGAATCAACCCAAGACACTTGGAGAGCGATGCTGGTGTTCCCCTTGATCCTGTCTCTGCAGCTTCTGTCCCCTCCAGGGGAAGGGACGCCGCGGGACCACGTTAAGCTCACTAGCCTCAGCCTTCCGATGGGATCAGGCACCGCCCCCTGCGCCGTGAACTGAGAGTGATTAGACGATTAGGTCGGTCGCTTGCCAGCAGCGCCGAGATTGCACAGGGCGGTCCGGGGGCCCAGCGGGGCCGCCCCGTCCCTCGCCCAGGTCCCGCCCTCGGAGGCGGAGCCTCGGGCCTGGCCAGCACGTGTAAGAGGAGTCCGCGGCGGGTCGCCGCAGTCACTCACCTGAGCGCCACGGTCAGGACGCTCGCTGCCTGCCCAGCGCCTCTGCCGCCTCCGCTCGCGCACGTCCTCCGCCCGCCAGGCACGCCTGCCCGTCCGGCCCCGTGCCTCATGTCCCGCCGCAAGGCGGGCAGCACGCCCCGCCGGGTGGACCCCGCGCCCGCCGCCAGCTCAGACGACGAGATGGAGACGTCGGAGCTGGAGATGTCGGAGCTGGTCATCGATGTGAAGACCGAACCCGAAACGCGGCCGCTCCAGCCCGAAGCGCTGGAGCGCTTCCTCCTGAAGGAAATGTCCACGCCGGAGCACTTGGGAGCCGAACCTCGCCACTCGCCCCGGGGCCCCGTGGACGCCACGGCGGCCCTGCAAGACCTCAGAGCCCAGGACCCTTGGGCAATGTGGTCGCCGCTGACCGTAAGCCTTCCGGGTGAGTACTCCACCGCCCCCCACCTCGGGGCGCCTCCCTCCCACTGCCCAAACGGGACCCCCTCCTCTCCATACTGTCCCTCCTGAGCTCCCCCCACCCTTCTGACCTTCGGGTTTCCCCTCCCTCGGAACCCCCAGCCCCCATCCTGGCCCCACCCTGCGCTCACCACCACCCGCTTCCTCCCTTGCAGACCGCCAGCCCTGGCCCCAGAAACACCCAGATCTATTGACCTGCGGCCGCTGCCTGCAGAAATTTCCGCTGGAAGCCATCACTACCTTCGTGGACCACAAGAAACTGGGTTGTTCGCCCCTTAGCAGCCCCGACCCCTACCTGAGTTCAGGTAAGAAAATGTTGGCTGTAGTCTTTCCCCCCCCACACACACACACCTCAAGTTCAAGGGCTGGGCTCCCCGTGAGGCGGGGGCTGAGCTGGACAGGCAGGGCAAGGAGCCTCACTTCCCCTTTCGGGCTCCCCACCGGGTTCAGCCTAGGCGTGGCCAGGGCCTGCCCGAAGTCCTAGAGCTGGGGAGTTGCAGTGGGGTGGGGGGCAGACGAGGGCTGGGCAGGCCCAGAGGGCCGCCCACAGGGTGTGGCCAACCCCAGAAAATTGGCCTGGGGATTTGCCACACATACACACCCCCAATCTGGTTTCACTTCTCCTTCCCCTTGGCCAGAAATAACTGGCCAGGTGGCTGGACCAGAGTGGCTGTAGGGGAGACCTCTAGGGACAGCAGTGGCCCTGGGGAAGAGGGGGAGGCCAGCTGAGAGGGGGACCGCCATCTCCTTCCCGCGTGGCTGCGACGACTGCTGGGGACAGGTGATGGGGAGTCGGGGCAAAGAGGATTCTGGCTCTGGCCTTGCGGAATCTCCCAGCCCTTGGGTGCTGGAAAGCCCCTGCTCAGAGCCAGGGTCCTGGGTGCAGGACACCTGGAGGGAATTAAGGCCCAGAACCCCAGGTGCCTGACCCTCAGCCCCAGGGGCTGATCAGCGCTGGCCAGGAGGTTAATGCATTGCTTCCAGCCCCCCATTTCTGGGACTTGATTCAATTAGGGAGGGGATTCAATCAGGGAGGGGCCAGGGCGTGGTGGGTGAAGGGAGGGGCTGATTGGCTGAACTTGGGAGCCTCAGCAGGGAAGGTGGCCTGGCGGGGGAGGGGCTGGGATGGACTTAAGCAACGCAGAATATTCCCCCAGGCCTGGCCTGGGACTACTGTGGACACTTGGGTGGCTTCTGTAGTGACGTTATTCCACCCAAACTCTGCCGCGCCCTATTTGCTGTCATAGCAACCCCCCTACCCCGAGGAGCCAGGGTGGGTGGCCATCCCACCTGAGGCTGCCTTAGGAGGTGGCCAACGGATGGCACCCATGGGCGGGCAGACATGTGCTGAGCAGCAGCCAAGCCTTTTGGCCCAGTTCGACCTTGGTCCTCTTCCAGGCGGGGCTACCAAGGTCACGCACCTTGCATGGGGGCCTGGCACCCAGTTAACAGGCCTGAGCAATCTTTTTAAACCCATGTTGAGGTGGGGGGGACCTCCACTCAGCCACCTCCCAGTCTCTAGATTGAAATCCCGGCCCACCCCTTCCCTTCTAGAAAATGTAAGGGGACTGAGGCTGGAGACAGAAAGGCCCTCCCATCTGCCTAGCCCTCATCTGACACTTTATTTAACTGAGTCACTCCCCCTGACACCAGCGTCTTTCCAGCTTCTCACCTGGCTTCCTGTCCAGTGCATGGTCTTGACCCCTGTCCTTTCCCTTCTCTCTGCAGAAACCAAGGACTTCAAGATCCTGAACTGCCTGCGCTGCGGCCGGCAGTTCACAGGTGCCTGGAAGCTGCTACGCCATGCCCAGTGGGACCACGGACTGTCCATCTACCAGACGGAGTCAGAGGCGCCTGAAGCCCCGCTGCTGGGCCTGGCTGAGGTGGCCGTGGCTGTGTCAGCTGTAGCAGGGCCATCAGCGGAGGTCAAGGGCTCCCGGGGGAGCCCCACCTGCTCCGTGTGCAAGAAGACCCTCAGCTCTTTCAGCAACCTCAAGGTGCACATGCGCTCACACACCGGTGAGCGGCCGTACGCCTGCGACCAGTGTCCCTACGCCTGCGCTCAGAGCAGCAAGCTCAACCGCCATAAGAAAACCCACCGGCAGCCGCTGTCCTCAAGCCCCTGCGAGGCCCAGGCCTCCGCTGCCCCACCGGAGCCAGCTGCCCACGCCGCTGCCCCAGCCACCAGCACCCTCCCGTGCAGCAGGGGTGAGGGGGCCGGGGCTGCTGCCACTGCAGGCATCCAGGAACCAGGGGCTCCAGGCAACGGGGCTCAGGCAGGCCCTGGGGGAGAAATCTGGGCACCTGTCCCCGAGGAAGAGAGAACTGAGCATGTCAAGAGTCCCAAGACATCCCCCGGCAAGATGTCCAAGTCGTTGGTGGGAAAGAGCCGTGGGCCTGGGGGCAGCTGCGAGTTCTGCGGAAAGCACTTCGCCAACAGTAGCAACCTGACCGTGCACCGGCGCTCGCACACCGGAGAGCGGCCGTACGCCTGCGACCAGTGTCCCTATGCCTGCGCCCAGAGCAGCAAGCTTAATCGCCACCGCCGCATGCACGGGCTAGGGCCTGGCAGCACCCGCTTTGAGTGCCCCTTCTGCTGTGTGCCCTTCGGCCTGCGTGCCACCCTGGACAAACACCTGCGGCAGAAGCACCCCGAGGCAGCCAGCAAGGCCTGAGCATGGAGTGTCCTCCGGCCAGCCCTGTACCCCTGCCCATGCTGTGTTGACTTTGTCTTTTTCCCTCCCCTTCCCGTGAATAAATGGTCCCGTCTCCCCTTGGACCTGGATCCTGGCTTTCTTGGGGTGTCTGAGGTGGGGTGGGAGCTCCCCCTCCTTGGTGGACGGCTGGACAGACCGGTTTGCAGTGAGGGGGTGAAGGGAACGGCCGGCCCCCAGTGCCTGGGGCAGGGCAGGACTGGCACAGAAAGCCGTGCTCCCGGTTCCTAGTGTGGGTGAGGCCAGGGCCAGGGCCGAGGTGAGGGTGGGGAAAGGCCTGGACCTGTCGCCAGCAGCCCCAGCCCATCCTCCCTAGGCCGGAACCTTGTCTGCACCTGTGGGCAGGTCTGGGCCCCCTGCCTTCTCAGCAGGCCTCACCACGCCACGGCAGCTCTGCCCAACAAAGAGCTGCCGTGCAGACGCCCTGCCGTGGGCAGGACTAACCACTAGGGTGCCCTTGGCACCTGGCCTGTCCACCGGCCAGCTCCTCCCAACGGGCTGCTAGGCACTAAGAGCTCTGCACAAATGACACACAGGCCCAGGGAAGGGAATTAAATAGTGTCTGACTTTATTTCATTGGAGAGAAACAGCAGTGTCCCAATTCCAGCCTCTTCCACCTAGTGTCGGTAGTGGGGGCTCCGGGAGCGGGACCTCGAGCGCCTGCTGAGAGAAGGGAGAGGAGCTGTGAGGGTGGCACAGCCGGGGGGAGAGGGGGAATGGGGGCTGGGCTGGTTTCCTTACCTTCTAGAAGAACTGTATTCCCGGCCTGTGGAGAAGAGATGGGTGAGTGAGGACAGCCAGTGTGGGCACGGGGGCAGGGGTGGAATCCTCGAGGTTGGGCCCCTTGGGACTGAAGCCTACAAAAGGGGAGCTGGGCATGCGCCACAGGAACACTCACTGTAACGGGGCGAGGGCGAGCGGCTCTGCCGGCTGTACTGGCGCTCCCACTCTTCTCGCTCCTTCTCTCTGCGCTCCCGCTCCCTGGGGAAGGAGGGCTGATGAGCACCTACCTGACCCCAAAGCTATCCAGGTGTTCGGGTCCAAGAGTGAACCTGGAGATGGTGGGGCAGGGGGTGGCAGCAGCCAGGGAGCAGACACTTGACAGTGGGGTTCACAGCTGGACAGTCCAGCATTGCCCTCACTTGCTGTTGCTTTGGGGTCCAGGATCAGCAGGTGCCTTCCCTGAGCCTGACCTGCATCTGGCCAAATCCTAGCAAGGGAGTCAAGGCGGGCAGTGACCCTGTCTGTAGGCTGGTACAGCCTTGCAGGGTTACGGTGCAGAGCCAGGAGCAGGAGCCCAGTGTGGCCCACCATAACCAAATCCCCAACAACCTTGCCAGCAGCTCAGGCCTTTCCCACACAGCCTCACAGCAGGGTCCTCATGGATGGCTGCCCATGCCCAGACAGGTTAAGGTGCTAGTCCAAGCACTTAGTGCCACCATGAGCTAGAACACAGCCCTGCCCGAGGACACCAGGCACCGGGGCCTCCAGTTCCACCTCAGCCCATGGTTCCAGACTGCCCCTGGCTCACAGTGTCATGGGAGGCCCCAAGGGGACATGTGCCGGACCCAGGCCACATGATGTGGCAAGTCAGTGAAGCTGAACCCAGGCTTGGCTGACCAGGCTCTGAGCCTGGCCATTTCTCAGTACCAAAAGAGCAAATGAAAAGCAAGCAGGCCAGGCAAGGGGACTGAGCCAGCTGAGCACTGTTAGAAGTCTAGGCATGGAGGACAGGGCAGGGAGTAAACAAAACACACAGCTCATTGCAGGGACAGATGAGGGCCATGCCACCCATAGCAGGCTGGGGAGGCAGAGGGCTTGGGGGCACTATCCGGGCAACACAGTGGGTGAGAGCTTCCTGAGGGAAGTGAGGGCGGGGACCTGGTGGGAGAAGGAGGGGGGACCTGTTGGCCCATGAGAACAGCACCGGCAAGCATGCTAAGCCAGGCAGCGAGGGAGGAGATGGCGGGAGAAGAGCCAGAGGTGGCCGGGCATGGCCCGAGGGCCCAAGGCTGGCTCTTTCATCCACCCACGGCCAGCTTGGGTGGGGCCCCAGCAGCAGCCCAGCGGCGGGCAGGCAGGAGGCAGCACTGGGAGGGGGGCGGTCTTACTTCATTCGGATCTTGCGTGCCATGGCTCGGAGCTCGTCCTCCCGCTCCTGTGAAAAGGCAGCCATGAGGATGAAGCCAGGCTTCCCGTCCCAGCTCGGCAACCTGGCCCCCTCAGGCCCCTCACCTGCCGCTCGTGCTCCTGCTGGATCATCTTCTCCTGAGCTGCCTTCTTATCCGCCTTGACTGTGGGGGAGCGGGGAGGTTAAGCAGAGGAACACCCCCAGCCCCTGGCCGCCCCAGCCCGTGCCCTCATGTGGCTGTCAAGGGGAGCACTCAGGGAACAGCTCACATACATTGCCTGTTCAGCGCCTTTTGCATCCTCAGCTTTAGCTTCTCCTGCGGTGTCAGCTTGGGCTGGGGGAGGGGGAGAAGAGACGGGAGGGGGTGGGTATCCCGGAGCTCCCACAACCCACCTCAGCCAAGAACCTGCAACTTGCGGGAGACTTGTGGGGAGGAAGGGCAGGCTGCGGGAATCCCCCAAGGGCGCAGAGAGGCAGGGGAAGGAACGTGGTTGTCCTGGGGGCAAGCTCCTCTCCTGCCCCTCTCCTGTCCCGCCCGGGTCTGGACCTCCCAGCCCACCCGGGCCCCCTGCAGGCCCACCGGGCCCAGCTCTCGGGCACTGCTGCTGGCGGGAATTAGGCAGGCGAGTTCCAAATTCTTACTGACTTTGGCAGCTCCTGTCTCTTTACCAGCAGCAGGTTCAGTCCTGGGTGAGAGCGAGGCAAGAGGGCAGTTGGCAGGGTGGAAGGGAGCCTGTCGCCTCACCCTGCAGCAGTCTCAGCTCCCACCCCCGCACAGCCCCATCTCCCTTGGACCCCGCACCCCAGGCACAGCCTTACAGGTAGGCCCTCCAGGGGAGAACCCCACCTGAGTCTGATGGCTCACGGCCCCCCAGGTCCGGCTCTACTCACTTTTTCAGCTTCTCGCCCACAGCGGGAGATGCCGCCGGCCTTGTCAGCTTCTCCCTCGGAGGTGATGGCGAATGGCTCTGCGTGCGGCTGCGGCTGCGGCTGCGGCTGGGGCTGGGGCTTGGGCTGGGGCTGCGGCTGCGTGTCAGGCTGCGGCTGCGCGACGGGCTGAGGGACCAGCTGCTGCGACTGCTGCTGTGGTGCCTGGGGCCCCGGCCGCCCCGCCGGTAGCGGTCTCCTGAGCGGGAACGGCTCCTGGGGGTGTGCGGGGCAGGGCCAGGTCACAGGCTTGCAGGGACCCCCTCCATACTGCTACCCTAAGCTCCCAATCCATGGCTTCCTGCAAGGTCGCATGTCACCTTCTCATACAATCAGTCCTAGGTCCTCCAGACAGGCCTGCTTAAGACAGCTCCCAGCACTGACGGCTAGCTACGCCTACCCACTTCTCTCCTTCCAGGTTCAAGCACCTGCCAGTTTCCGGGCAGTGGCCACAGGGAAGGCAGGGCTTGGCTATGAGCTCTGTGCTCTTGAAGGTGAGCTCTCCTTCCCCCTCATCCACCTCCGTCCACCCCTCCTCAGGGCCCCCACCAACCTCCAGCGCAGTCCCTTCCTCCCCTTCTCAGGACCCTGGTGGTCCCCCAGTGAGGGCTCACGCTTGGGCTGCCACCAGGGAGGTGACCAGCCCCACCTTCCTCTCCCCTGTCATCGCCCAGGGCTGGGCTGTGAGGAGTGAGCCAGCAGCTGGTTCCACAGGCCACACGCCGACTGCTCAGGCACTCCTGGGTTTTTACAATATCAAAGTGTGTTGTTGACATTAAGAAAACAAGAGCTGTCCTTCCAAAGCTAGGACTGGTGACTTCTCTTGAGAAACCACAGGACTGGACAGTGCCAAGCTTTCCACGGAACAGGGTCATGGGCCTGCCAGCTTTCTAGAGCCCACTCGGTCACTCCACTTGACCCACTATACCCACAAGAGAGCTGGCACTGGGACCCACACCGCAGTCATGCAGCCTCTGACCCAGGGCTGGGCCTGCCTTTAAAAGCTGTATGTCAATTTGCCTGTGACATGGAGACAAAGACCCAGTGACATGGACGTTAGCGGGTTCCCTTACTCTGCAGGTGCAGGTTCACAGGAGGAACCCAGGCAGCTGCCCCACAGTCCGCATTCTCACCATCCCACCCCGTGTCCCCCAGGGCAGGACAGCCCCCACTGGGCAAGGCACTGCAAGGGGAAGTGCACCCTAGCCCCAGGTGGCCACTTCCTCCACCACCCAGCGTAACTACTTCACCCTGCCCAGCAATTCCCAGAGACACCCAGGGAGCCTCCGGCGGGTTTTCCCAGCCACACGGGCCCAGGGCCCCCGCTGCAAGCCCTGATGTAGCCACTTCTACCCTTCTGTCCTGGCAAGGCCAGTGGCACTGAGAAGAGGTACTCCGCCCTTCTCTCCTCCTAGACATCGCTGTCTCCCCCTCTGAAGCAAGAAGCGTTCCTGAGGGCCTCTCCTCTCAGACCAGGTCTTGGCTGGTGGAACCCTCACTGATCCCCTGGCCACACATGTCCCCTCCACGCACCTGCTTCTGCGTCGTGGCCCGTAGCCAGGACGCCGGGTGGGCGAACGGGAGTAGCGGTGTCCATCACGAGAGCCACCACCTGAGTGCCGCCGGCCCCGGCTGCGGGACCGGGAGTAGCGCCGGGAACGGGAGCGAGAGCGGGACCAGGAGCGGGAACGGGAGCGGGCATGGCGACCAGAGCGGTAGTGGCCCCCGCCGCCACGGCGAGAGCGGGAGCTGGAGCTGGAGCGGGAGCTGGAGGTCCTCGAAGCAGAAGAAGAGGAGGAGGAGGAGCGGCGGCTGCAGGTGGGGCACGGGGGCCAAGTCAGTGCAGGCCAGTGCGGCAACCCCCCTCGGCCCCAGCTCCCTCCCGTGGTGGCCGGGGTGTAGGACGGGCAGCCTGAGCGTTACCGACCGGGCGCTGGTATTGCGTCCCGGTGCGGGGCCGCCAGGCTGGGGGGCTGCGGGGGGCTTCCCTGTGGCGGCCCCTGACGC